TCCCCCACCGTCGCTGCCTCCCCAGCCTCCACTGCCCGAGCGCGTACAGGAAGTCACGGACAGCGACCGCGAAGATGGCGAGCTGAGTGAGGGCGACAGTTCGCCGTCGCTCATGGACAAGCTACAGCAGGATCGCGACGCGGCCAAGCAGTTCATCAAGCTTCTGCACAGCAACAACGTCTCGTACAAAGCCCTCGCCAATGAGCAGCTAGACCCCGAGCTGCTGAGGGGCCTGTACCAGAGCGCAAACCTGCCGTCGGAGCCTGCGCCCATCCTGCCACCCAAGGCCAACGATGCCGTCTCCAAGGCGCCCGCCGTCCAGCCAGTGACTCCCGTCGCGCAAGATGCGCCCAAGTCTGTCGCGTCGCCAAGCACTCCGGGCCATCGTCAGGATTACATAGCACGTCTCCAGGCCGCAAAGGCTGCGAAACAGGCCGCCGCCGCCAAAACCACCACTCCTGCGCCTGTCACCAAGACGCCCCAACCTGCGACCCCTCCGGCCGCTAAGCCGCCTGTGACAGATGAACAGAGAGCGCGCAACACCGAGTTGATCAAGCAGCGCTTGGAAGCCATCAAGGCGAGACAGAAGCCGCCGGTCACGCCTGGCTCGCATACACCCACGAGCGCCGCCTATACCCCATCCTTCTCTGCCATTCCAGGTCTTTTCATGGGCGCGTCTTCAACATCGAATACACCTGCTCCGTCTGCACCTCAGCCAGCATCTCTACCAAATTCTTCTACTCCTCACCCACGGCCGCTGGGCCAGTCTCCGCATGCTGACCAGGAAGATGATTCAATGATAATAGATGTTAGCGAAGACGAGTCCAACGGCAGCGACATGGACATTGACGACGATCAGCCCGCTCCTCAGGCAGGTCAGCATTCGCGTCAGGCTCCTGGCACCCTTCCCAACTTCCACTCCGGCGCAATGCCAGCAACCCCATCAGCCGCTGCTGTCGGTACCTCAGGCGCAGAAACACCCAACACAGTCGCGCGCGAGAAGGAGCTAGTGGACAAAGAGAAGCAGTTGGTGGCCATGCGCGAGACACTCAAGAAGAAGCTCGCTGAAAAGCGAGAGCGCGATAGGTTGGCAGCAGCTGCCAGCGTCGCGACATCACCGTCCACGAGCCAAAAGACGTCGACGCCAGTGCCATCTCTTCAGCCCTCCACTCCAGCTTCGCTTCCCACATCCACGACCCAATTTGTATCATTCCCATCACATTCAAAAGACACAAATCGTCTTCGCCGGGCGGAGATCCAATCTAAGCTGCCTACCCTGGATGCCGAGATTGCGAGTAACGCGAGTAGGATGGCTCAGCTGACCAAGGAATTGGAGCAGCTAACGGCGCAGAACGAGAGAATTGCAAGGGACAAGGAGCAGCTGACCAAGGAGCTGGAGGATCTGGGTGTTGACACGGAGGGCATGTCTCATGCGCAATTACGAGCCAAGAAGGATGAAATCGAAGGCGAGCAGTCTTCGGATTCGAACTCCCCATCTAACCAAACGCAACCTGTATCGCAGCCTGCACTCAAGGATGCTTCACCGGTTTCACTTCCAGCTTCGAATCAACATACTTCAGTACCGATGGCACTTCCTGGACTTGGACAGGATACGATTCAGCCTGAGCAGGAGAGTTATGAGCCCCCTGAGTTGCCAGAACAGGTCATGCCTGCAGAAGGCGTCCTCAACCCAGCAGCATCACAGATACATTTTAGCCCACAGGATTCACCTACCAATGGCACCAGGACCCTGAATCCTTCGGCGCCAGCCTTTGTCTCGACAGCTCAGCAAGACCAGATTGAAAACACGCAAAGTAATTCATCGAAAGCTGATGCGAGTGTACAAAATGCGATCGACGTAGCCAAGGCCAACGCCAGTGCTGCTGTGGACCAAGAGATCCAGCAACCTACCACTGCCCCCTCGCCGTCAGAAGAAGGAGAAGTCGACATGTCTGTTTCCGAGGGTGACGAAGACGAGGAAGAAGAGGAAGAGTACGAGCCGGAATACGAGCCAGAAGAATCTGTCGTTATCCCCGAAGTACCCGTGGAAGAAGAAGTGGAGGTGCAGACCAAACCTGAGTATTCACTCGAAAGCTCGCAAGCCTCTCCGCAAGAAGAAGAGGCCTACGAGCCACCCGACGTCGAAGAAGACATGCCGGATGTCCAGGTCGGCGAAGAATCCACCGCAGATCAGTATGAGCCCACGGCTCAAGCTGAGGCGGGAGATGGCGCTATGGACATTGCTACATCATCTGATGAAAGCTCTGACGACAGCGAATCCGACGACGAGTCTACCCCAGAGCCGGAAATGAGGAAGTCCATCTCAGCGTACAACCCGTTACATCAAGACGCTGGAATCGCTGATGATCTAGCGCCCGAGCTACAACCAGAGGTAACGTCTTCGGCGGCCGCTGGCGGACCTGTACGTCAACCACCATACCGGAGGCCTAGCTAATGCAGACCAGGTGCCTGAGGTGTCCGAACAGGACGAAGAACCCGAACCAGCCAGGTTTACTCCGTACGAAAGCCCGCTGCGAATGTTCAAGTCCTATCGCTATCATCCCAACTATGCTCAAGATATAAATGGTGGCTTCCTGTCCCTGACTTTTAGTCATCAGATCAACCCAGAGAAGCCGCTGTGCCAGTACGAACTAGCTGGCGGCGCATGTAACGACCCTGAATGTCCCGATCAGCACTTTAGGGAAGTTGCTATTACTGGTGCGTTGGGAGAGGCGTTTTTGTCTTGATTTTTGTTGTGTTTTGTTTTCATTCATGACGGCTATACCTCTGCGCGGAGACTGACTTGTAATCATATAGGTGACAAACTGCTCGTCCAGCTCGGCACAGCGAACCCAGGCAAGACCTCCGAGGAAAAGCAGCGCTGGAATGATGGTCTCCGCGGCGTGCTCAAGGAACTTCGTCAGAAGAACATCAAAGACCCCAACGGCATCGCTGTGGAGATAGCGAGATATCGCCGTCAGTTCCTCAACGACGATACTCGTGTCGTCAACTTGTAATCCTTCTTAGCTCCCCTCTCCGTTCTAGGCCTGCACCTAGTGCGAGTGGGGATGGCTTCTCATTCATCATTCCCTCCATTGCTACTGACCTTGATCACATCCACTCAGCAGTCCGCTTCTCTTTGCGTACCCTTCATCGGTAAAAAAAAGTTGCGACATTGGGGGCGTATCAACAACTCTCTATCTCTCGACTGTAAGCATCGATACCCTTTCTCTGCATTGGCGTGGAGTTCACGGCTCGGGTCTTCGTTTCTTCGATCCACCATCTATTTTTATTGGATGCAACATGGGGGACTAGGACACACTCTAGCCCGTCCACTAGCAACCTGACCTGGTACGTATTGCTGCCAGCTGCTACGCTCGGACAATTGAGATTCGGTCATCTCGGCGGAAGAGCGAGTGGGTGGCAGCTGCGGGGATATGGTTGGGACGGTGGTCGTGGCAGTGACTTAGTCTACGTAGGCAACACGAATGCATATTTCTTCTGTCCGATCCTCATTATCACACGATCGCACATTCATCATGTCAAATATAGTCTCCACGTTTACATCATGCAATCGATCGAGAAATAGGATACAATAATTGATTCTAGTCAAGCTATCCTAAACCTTCCCCATCATTTACGTTCTTAACACGCAAGAATCTAGTTGGAGATGCCAATAACACCGCAAGCAGGACGAGGACCTGCGTTACCAGTCTTCTTGGACTCCTCGTGTCCGCCCTTGCCGAGGTCGTCAGTTCCAGCGTGAACGACAATAGTGCGACCAACGACGCTCTCGGCGCCAATCAACTTGATCAGCTTGTCTGTGGTGCTGCCCTGAGCGTTGCCCTGGCCGTCGGTCTTGAAGTTACCCAAGTCACCGACGTGGCGCTCGTCGTCTTCGGGCGCGCCGTGCGTCTTGTTGTGGGGGTTGACTGGATGGGCGTATTAGTATGGGTATGCATCTCGGCGGCTAGATCTGCAGGGTGGGTGTTCCTGCGTATCCGGTGCAGGGCTGTTGGGGTGTAGGTGCAGGTCTGTACTCACAGTGAGGACCAGCAGACGTGCAACCGTTTGTGTTGTCGCCGAAAGCGTGGACGTGCATGCCACGCTCAGCGTTGGCGTCGTGGCCAGTGATGTTCCATGAGATGGTAGTAGGGGCGGACTCGTCGGCCTGCTCAAAGGTGACGGTTCCCTTGACGTTCGAGTCTCCACGGAGGACGGCGACTATAGCGTTTGCGTTAGCACATCCGTTCTCTCTGAGCTTCAAGCTGTACCAAGCTTCTGTAGCGCGTTGATGCGCGTGCAGTGTAGCGGAAGGCCATCAGGGTGTCTTGCAGCCGGCGAGCTGATTGGAGAAGTCCAACGACAAGCCCCAGGTACCAACTGACAGCATGGTACTCCTTGTGAGTCCCAAAGCTGCCCAATTGACCTCTTCGAGCGTTACGATACACCTGAGTACCGTGTCGTCGCAAATAATCTGCTCAATCTTACGCAAGGAGCTGACCCCACCTTCCCGCAACAGGGCAAGCTCGTGAAGCTACTCTAAACATACGTACCGGCTTTGACCATTGTGACGGTTATGTGATAGGTATTGATGGTATTACTTGTGTATTTTGGGATCTGTGACAAAAAGAGGCGTTGTTGGGGAGGAGATGGGAGGGAGATGTACAGCTGGCTAGAGGTGAGCTTTGAAGCCGCCTCCACCGGCCGAATGCGGGGCTGTAGTGACGCAACGGTCTCTAACGCCGGGCCAGATCCGACGAATGATTAATAGCCCTGAGGGTCCATCACTTTACATGGTTTCTATCGGTTTCTTACACTTTCATGACGTTGAAGGTTTCAGCATATCACGGACAGGATAGAAAGATGGTGTTTTACATCTGATGTCAATTTTACTATCTATTTATTGGAAGCCAGCCCATCATGTCTCATATCAAAACCGAAGAAAGCCGTAAGAGTGTTCAGATGCTTGGTGTGTCTCCGTTGTCGGATTACACACTCTATGCCGCCTGGATCTTCTTGCGGAGGATGTCCTTCAGGGTAACGGCGTCAGCGGCGAATTTCGAGATACCCTCGCGGAGCTTCTCGACGGCCATCTGGTCCTCGTTGAAGTAGAAGCGGAACTCGGCCTCGTTGTTGATGTAGGTCTTCTTCTCGATGTCAAGCTTGCTGGCATCTTCGGCGATGAGCTTCTTGGGAACGTCGTCTTGTGAGTTGTACAGCTCCTCGAGCAGGTTGGGCTGTATTCGTTAGTCACATGTGCAGGGATAGAGCCTGCGGGCAGTACTTACAGCAATGGTCAGGTAGTCGCAACCAGCGAGCTCGGTGACCTCACCGACGCTGCGGAAAGATGCGCCCATGACGATGGTCTTGTAGCCGTGCTTCTTGTAGTAGTTGAAGATTTGCTGGACGCTCTTGACACCGGGGTCCTCCTCCTTGGAGTACTCCTTCTTGGTCGAGGCCTTGTACCAGTCAAGAATACGGCCGACGAAGGGAGAGATGAGGAAAGCACCGGCCTCGGCAGCCGCGATGGCCTGGACCTGGGAGAACATGAGGGTCAGGTTGCAGTTGATTCCGTGCTTGGATTGCAGGATCTCAGCAGCCTTGATTCCCTCCCATGTGGACGCGAGCTTGATGAGAACGCGCTCCTTGTCGATACCGATCTCCTTGTAGAGGTCGATGATGTGCAGGGCCTTGGCTACTGACTCCTCGGTGGAGAAGGAGAAGCGCGCATCGACTTCTGTCGAGACCTTGCCGGGGACAATCTGGAGGATCTCCTTGCCAAACTGTACCAGCAGGTTGTCAAGGGTGGTGTCGACCTGGTTCTCAAGGTCGGTGCCGTTCTTCTTGCCGTATGCGACGGCCGCGTCGATCAGCTTCTCGTACTCGGGCTTCTTAGACGCGGCGAGGATGAGCGAGGGGTTGGTGGTCGCATCCTGGGGCTGGTACTTCTTGATGGTAGCGAAGTCACCGGAGTCGGCGACAACGGTCTATAGGGAAAGTCGGTCAGCTATAATTCTTCCGCAGGCTTGGTGTTGCGCATGTGAATACTCACGGTGCCGGAGGCCTTGAGCTGTTCGAGGGAGCTAGGCATTGTGAGGGGTATATGTGTATGGAATTGGGATGGAAGGTTTGTTGCAAGTGTTTGTGAGAGCACTTGATATGTAGTAGAAGGTGAGGAAAGTTGTCGACTGATGTGATGTAAAAGTGTTGTTGGGCCAGCTGCATGGGTGGGGCCTTTCATACGTAGCGCCCCTCACCTTCCGGCCCCTCCATGGAAAAATAGCGTCACCGGTGGCAATGGCGGCAGAAGTCAAGCTCAGTCAGCGGTGAGGGTCCTTTCGAGTAACCGCTAGCGATCAGAAATTTTGCCGCTCTCGGAGCACTGTCGTCCGGCCCATCCATCAAGACGCGCTTCGGGCTGGACGTGGCTGGACGCGATGCCTGAGCAGATCCCACGTGGCGGTACTCGGAGCAGAGTAATGCACTGTCATACGATTGAGGAAGCTTGTTCTACCAACAACCCACGGCTATACACTATCGCGATGTTATTCTTAGCTTATCATCGTGAATTCCCGCGGACATATCCAGGGCAGCTTCGGCCAAAAGGCCGACTCCAGGCTTCTCCATGTTGATAGCAGGATATCACAACTTTGCTTTGCCAGTCGTCTTGCCCCACCCGTCTTGGTTCAGCCATCCGTACACCTCCTTGTATTGTTCTTCAAGATTGCTAACAGTATGGCCCGCTCCACTCGGGCCCGGATCGTTCTGCATCATCAATCATCAGCACACAGTCACACACTCGGGTGGATGTTTTCCATCAATACTTACGTATGCCTCAACTAGCCTGGTCTGTTTCGCGCCCACCTCAAGGATCGTGCCTCCACCCAGATCGGTTTCTTCCAGGCATCTCAACATGGCGACTGCCACTTCTTCGGGTGTCGCCCAGGCATCCTTGGTTTGATCAACGAACGCCAATTTCTCCGGATGCTCGGTCCACAGTGGTGTTTTGATGACGCCCGGAGCGACGGCATTGACGCGAATGTTCATTTCCGCTTCGAGCCTACCCAGCGACCGGACAAAACCGTTCATCCCGTGCTTGGCCGCCGTATATATCGGCGCGTGGAGGTTGGGGTTTTGGCCTGCAATACTAGAGATGATGAGAACTCTCTTAGGATTCTGCGCACTCACTCTATCTACACCAGGTGGTGGATTGAGGAAATGCGATATAGCGAGCTGGGTCGTGCGAATGGGATGTGTTACGTTGATATCGAGAGTTGCGTATCGTCCCCCGTCCGCCTTGTCTCTGCTCGCGCTGCCATCGACGCCTGGAGGATGCCAGAAGTTACTCCAGTGGGGATCGTAGACGCCTGCTCCTGGACATACAATGTCGACTTTTCCGAATTCCTGTATTCCTACTTCGAACATGCGCTCCAGTTGCGGCCAATCCGTGACATCGGTCTTGAGAAAGACGGCTCGTGGTCTCTCCTGCTCTTTAGTGCTGTATTTTTTGACCAATTGCTCTGCTTCCGGGCGAAGCGAAAGATCGGCTATAAGGACGGAGCAGCCACGGCTGAGAAGTAAAGCTGCAAAAGAGAAGTTTATACCTGACCCAGCACCAGTGACTATGGCAGTTTTCCCTTTGACACTGAATGCATTTCCAGATTTCGTCTCGTTGACTAAACCCGGTTGTCTTGCTGCCATCTTGCCTCAAGCACGCTCTTGAACTCGTTCGATGAACAATAATGAAACAATGTCCCTCACATGGTCGTCAACATGGCTATATATGCGACCTAGGTACACGGTGTCCAGCATTCACGCGTCTATCCAGCGCGGGATTGCCTCATTGGGTAACGAGAGGGGTAGTTGTGGGGTAACGAGCACCGAGCACTATCTAGTCGGGGAAGGTTTGCCGAGCTTCAATCCTCCTACACTACGCGGAAGCTCGTATTCTGGGTCGTTCTACAGTCTATCATACACCAAGCCGACTGGCTAATCTCGAAAAGCCATGATATATTGACGTCAGTGCTGCAGTGGGTTGAGCGAATCTTGAGTAAATGATCTTTGTACTAGAACTACGATTATGTACATGCCAACCAGCCAGACAGTATCGAACCTGCCTCATTTGGGATATCAATGTATACCGAGCGCCACCTAACGCCGTATGTGCCAGAAGTCCTAATTCCGTTTCCTCAGCTCACTGCGCTCCTGTCCGTCGGTCCCACTAGTACGCGGAAGAGGCTCGCCATTGCCCGTGCCTGAGACGTGGCTCAGCCGGATCAGCTCATCCATCATAGCATCTCTTGTCTTCTTGAGCAGCTCATCGACGTGCTCTGGTCCCTTTCCTTTTGTCTGTATTGGCGGCAGAACTGTTACATCCACCACGCCTGGCGCAAACCTCTTGCCCTTTACGTCTAGGACGTGGTAGTAGTTGCCAACGACGACGGGCACGATTGGGACTTGTGCTTGTACGGCGAGATGGAAGGCGCCTTTCTTGAAGGGCAGGAGTTCAGGCTTCGAGGCGTAGGAGCGCGTGCCCTCGGGGAAGATGAAGACATTCTGGCGTGTTGTTTTCATGGTGTGTGCGGCAGTATCGAATGCGGCGCGGGAGGAGGTGCGGTTTGCGCGGTCTATGAAGACGGTCTTGGAGAGGGCCATGAACCAGCCGAGTAGGGGCACGTATTTCAGCGACTTCTTGGCCGTGACGGACGTGTATTTGGGGAACATGCAGCCGAGCATGAGGACGTCGAGTTCGCTGCAAGGAATGTCAGCGCCGCAGTCAAGAGTTGGCCTAGCCAAAGGACCTGGTGAACCCACGTCTGGTGGTTGCCCACAAAAATGGCGGGACGGTCCCTGAGGGCGTCTTCTCCACTAAGACCGCCCTCTTTCTTCATGCTTCCCGTCACTCTGAATGTTACGCCGGTGCACAACCACATGACCCATTTGAACGCCCGCGCAACCGTCCACTGGATCAGTCCACCATAGCCCACGAGGCGCAGAGGTATAGCCACGAGGGTGCCGTACAGCGCGCAGCAGAGCATGAGGAGCATGGAGCTTATTGCGAAGGCGTAGTACGACACCAGTTGGGCGGGCTTCGCGGGCAGCACGAGCGAGAGCAGGCGCATGGCGATGATGAGCGCGGGCGGCATGGCGGCGAGGTAGGTTAGCCAGCCCATAGCGAAGGCTCTCGTCGGGGAGGGTGAGGGAGAGGGGGAAGAGAGGTGCGTATGTTTGTATGTGTTCGTATTGCGGGTGGAAGAGAGTCGGAGCTTGGTGGGGACATTTTTTGTCACGCGCCGAGGTTCGCACATGCACCTCGCCAACTCGCTAAATGTCATGTGCACCGCCATGCCAATCATCGTGACCCCTTCTCCTCCACAGAATGCCCTGAACTGGTCCGCACCAGCACGTCGTCTCTCCGCTGCCTCGACCAAGTTATCACTGCGACGCAAGAGGTCGTGATAAATACAAGTAAGAGAGGAAGCAATATCCACCGCCAGGCTACCATGCAATCAACCCTTAGTTTGATCTCGGCGGCTTGTGCTCCGTCAGCCAGAGGAAGATCTAGCACGGCCTTGAACCACGTCTCGGGCGTCCATCTCAGGTACGGGTAATTGATTCCGACTGTGTTGGAGGCGATAGGTTCCTTGATGTGCTGGCCTGTCGTCTGGTACGTCACTACGAAGACGAAGATGAAAGCCGACAAACAGAATACACTTCCGAGCAGCGACAGGATAGCAAGGGCGCTAAGACTTTTTCGACCCTATTCGCAGTTTTAGTACCCTGTTCAAGAGATCGTGAACATTGTTACCGTACCTGTCCAGTCTTCCTCATCCTCCATGCTGTCCACATGCCGAGAATGCCCAAGAAGAACCCATATACTGCTGCGCCGTTGCTCTCGTGCCCTTGGTCCGTCCACACATTCTTGGGTTCGACATTGATTTGGGTAGGATTTCCAGGCCAGTTCACATGATAAACATGCACCTGATGCTTCTGGTCATGTATCCAAGCCACCACAGAACTGATCAACCCGAATACGGTGATGGATAGAGCACAAAGTAAAGCGCTCGATGCGAACAGCAGCCAATTTATCTTTTGTCGTCTTGCCATCAATGTCATCGAGGCGGGCGCTGTGCGGGGAGAAGGTTGTAATAATTCCATATTGACCGAGCGTAGGAGTGGGTATAATACGAGGAGAGGGACGAAAAAGCACTTCTCAACGGTTCATGCTCAATTATTATACGCTTCAGATCTGGGGCTGAGTTTTTCCTCCCGTCATCGTGGCACACATTCGGGCTGGGTGGATGAGCTCAGCACCTTTGCAGCTTAGTTGTCGCAGCCTTGAACCACTTCAGGCACGCTACCTCTCTCAGATGTCTAATATTAGCAGAGAACATGGGATCATCAGCAAGCATGTCGGCATCTTGATGCTCAGTCTCCTACTCGTTCAGCTTGGCATGTTTGGAAACAGAGCAGATGACGCCAGGGGAGCCATGTTGGTCAGCTCTATCGAAGTAGGAAATATGCGCAATCCAGTATAAAATCCTGAAGATTTCCTGTCTTCGAAACAATGGTGAGATGACGCTGGTGCACTGTTTCTTGTTTCGAAACATGTCAATATTTGCGAAACTTGGTGGCCTCTGCGTTCACCGGGGAACAGACAGTAGAACGGGGTAGATATTAGTGCACTCTTGGAACGGGAACGCAACTGCACAATTCGAAGCGCGTCTTGTTCCTCACCAAGAGGAAGCGGGAGTTGATGGGGTGTCTTTGGAGGGTCGTGAACGTATTGGCCGGGTTCCTGACGCGCTTCGGGTCGATCCTGCCCGCCTCGGAAGAGCTGGTGGAGCTAAACCAACCAACCACCCACATTTTCAAGACGCGTCTCCGTACCCTGGACCCATCACTTAGGCCGTCGACGAAGCATGAGCTTTCACACGTGCTGCAATTCTACACTCGGCGGTAAAAGAACGAGACGGCACAGATGCACAGCTCCCAGGTCTGCTCGATCGACCTGGAGCTCTGTCTCTGACCCGTGATGCGACCTACGGCACGTCTGGGCGGCGGCTAGTCGTCACACACCAAACACGCGCGTTGACACACGGCACAACCTTTCCCGCTGCTTGCTTCAGCAACCATGTTCGATTCAATATGGAGGTCTCTACTCGCGACTTTTGCAGTTGAACCTCTCGGTATCGAGCACAGCTTGGCAACAATACTCTACACCGGGAAGTATACGCGTGCCCAAGGCTCGCGCATAGCGCACAAGTCATTCAGTTGTTCTCAATCGCATCCTTCGCGACAGCTGTTCGCATTCGGTCCGGTCCGCGCTTTGGCTTCCCAGGCACCACGGCCGTCCCGAGGACCGGCATGAGGATGGGCGGCTATCGTATAGTCTACCTACAATCCATCGCATATGGGGAGCTTAGAGCCAATACTCCAGGCTGCTAACGATTACACTTCCAGCCTCTTACTCAATCTGTCCTTGATCTCATAGCAAACACGAGCCGAGATACAGGCAGACCCTGGTTGTGGTGGGTGTTCGATTGGATATCGAGTTGTAGTATGAGCACGGCGTAGCTAAAGCGATATGCAAGCACGGCACATACTTCTCATGAACTCAACGGGTCATGAACAAACGTTTATATCCCTTCATAGGGGACTATTCCTGGTATGCGGCACTCATTATTTTTACTCACTCTCTATTCTCTCATTCGCTTCCTGCAGCCCTGCGTGCCTGGCCGGTCCAGATCCATCACCAGGAATACATTCTTTATTAATATTTATTCGAAAATAACTCTGGATTGCACTCATGCGGCTGCCTTACCGGTCGATTAGCAGCATTCAACCACTCCCTAGCATTTATACCACCTTTCCAGCCAACTACGGCGGCTCGGACTCAACAAACACGTCTGGCATTCATTCCGGAACATGCCTCATCAGAAAGATCGAGGATGGGATCGAGGCGGTCCCTTTCGAAAGGAGTAATATTCTCTCGGCTCCTATACTCAGCCCAGACCAAGAAGAGAAAGAAGTCTTTGTGCCGTCATGGGAAGAAGTCGATAATCTCAACAAGCCTCTCCCTAGCCTCCCGAGATGTATATGGCAGCGGATGTCTCAGCGGCAACGTATCTTAAGTTTGCTGAGTTTACAATTTCTGATGCTCCTTACAATTGGGCTGAGTCTTCTGGCTGTCAAAGATCGATCTTCAACAGGGTGAGATGTACCAAGTCAAATCATAAGGATGCCATTAACATAGAATCTACAGCGATGAGGATGCGACAGCATACGTTGCTAGCAATGACCCTTCAAGTACCAATATCACCAACAACCTCCGACGTGGAATCTTTGCGTTGCCTGTTGAACTTCCGCAGCAACAGAGTATGGCATGTCTGGCAAGCAAGGACCAGATAAATGCATGGCAATGCGCGTCTGAAACAACCTTTCAGCTAAGCATACTTCCAGCTTCGGCGGGCAACGACAGCACGATCATGATAGCGGTGGGGTCATCGGGAAGTAACGATACTGTCCGCCCCGGCGAACGCATACCAAACATTCCACCTTTGGAGCTTCTAGCAATTAACAATGCTGAGCACGAAAACGATTTTGCCTATCACTTCCGTACTACGTACGACAAAATTGTATTGCTCAGCGAGGATGAGCTACCTCTGGCTGGAGAGCCACATGTGCATGCCTCGACGTCAAATACTCTATTTCAACCTGGGGATAGTCTGTGGCAGTGCATCTTTAATGAGACCACTGTTGAGGGTTACATCTACCCTAACAGAGCTACAACTGCCAGTGCTACCAACACTGCATCAGGCACGGTCGATGTGGATAATTCCATTACGCTGCCGGATTTCCCCTACGCCGTTGAGTTGGTCGAGGAGTGGACGCCAAATGGAAAGACCCCTCATTGTTCGAAAATGACTATGCAATCGGACGGTACCCTTGCTCCACTTTCGGAGGAGGTGATGTTGCGTTTGGACAATTCCAAGGGTAATGTTCCAGTTTCCACATCACAACGTATGGGACGTATTAGGCATCGAGAGCAACGGGAAGAGGCGCATTTGAGCCAGTGTCAGTGTCAATGGGTGATCAGCTGACGCAGGTTTCTCGATATTACATTCGACAGACAATGCCATAACTCCGTCAAAATCGTCTTCTTTGCGCTGGTCCGACGTCTTCATTACATTTCCATTTGGGCATGCTTACATCAAAATATTACCAAAACAGCTTACGTGTCTTTATCCGCGAAGAACAGGTGGTCGATTGAATCTTGGGTCCACGGCTCCACCCAGGACCCTTTTTCCTGGGTACACCCACACATGACATGCCACACTGAGTAGGCGACCAGCGGAATTCGTAATTGCCCTGCAGACCTCACAGCATCTACCGCGTCCAGGCCCTTCCCCGATCACGCTGTCCCATCGTCGGCAACAGATGGCACATCACCGGGCTCTATCTTTACTCACTCATTAAGCAGTTCGATTGTCTAAAAACTGTCTTGCACGCCCACCTGCATTTAGTTATTCAGCAACATCGTCGAAGACTGCGAGGACAGGGAACGAGTTTTGCGTCGCAATCATCTACTATACTATCGAAACCAGATCAAGCAAGATAGCCTTGGCATACGATGGTCCCCAAGGCCACCGAATCCACGCGAAACTCTTCGGCACGAGATCTTCGTACACAAAGCAGAAATGTTGTGCCACCAAAGACTCCCGAAATCATACAAATACCTGGCCGGTTCAGCGCGCTTGGAACTGATAGCACTCTAGCAGTAGTGGGAAGGAAGCAAGAGAGTCGCGCACGAGTAAAAATTGAGCCCGAGAGTCCCGATAACACGGTATACCCAACATCGCCAGCATCTCGACGTCGAGACCACAGGGAAGAAGCGAGAATAGTCAAGCCCGGAGGGCCTTCCTCCCGTCACCATACAGTTCACATCAAGGTCGAAGATAAAGCCGAACCCGATACACCACCACGCCACCCATCCTTCACAACAGCATGGTCCAAATCGCCACTCCGTGTACCGACCCCCTTGGCTGAACAGTTCTACCGATCCACGGTAGTCAAGAAGGAGAGCGATGTTTCTTTAGTACATAGGGACGTACTGTCACTTCGCAGCCAAACTTCAGGTCCGTCGGTCAGCTCGAGCTACAAGAGGTTCGCTGGCGAAGTATTCCGTGACTTCGATGCGTCACACCCAGCCTCCAAAGTCAAGATAGAAGAGGAACCGGAAACGGGATACTACATTCCGACAGGAGCGAGCAAAGTCAAGCATGAAGCGGGATCTTCCCCCACAAACCTCCACCACCGTCCCAGCCCCACAGACTATCCCAATCCATACCACAGAGCGCCTGTAAAACATGATCCAGCATCAAACTCTTCACCCGACCTCAGGCGTACACGAAGCCACTGCACCGTCGCGCCAACCCCAGAACTCCGCTCCGAAACAAAGTTCTCTTACCTCCAACCCATCACACCTACACCCTTCAGCACACCCTACGGCCTCGTCAACCCCTACCCTCCCGATCCATCATCATACCTCGTCTCCGGGTCCCTGATCGAAGGAGTTCAACGGCGGACAAAGTGGGGCCAGAGAGATAGACGAACGAAGCGGCAGCCTCCAGCTCTGCAGCCGCGAGGTGCGCCTGCGGCTGAGGGCGTTTCTGGTGGAAGACAGAACGCTACAAAAGCAGGAGCGGAGGGGACTGGAAGTGGCGGAAAATGCGCATGGTACAAACTTTCGCTTTGCAAATGCTCCAAATGGATTAGTTGTATCAAGGCGAAGTGCTCGCGCGCTGCTAAGAAGAAGTGGTGGCAGAGAAGTAAACAGCATCAGTACACCACGGAAAGGAGGGAAGACAGTGGGTTTTATGTTGTGAGAAGAGAGATTGGTCCTAATCTCAGGGTTACGGTTAGAGATGTCTGAACGGCGTGTGAGTGGTGGTTGGACGTTTCTGGGAGTCATTGGCGATGACGGGGGCATTGGGGCGGGAAGGTCAGCTCTGTTATCAGGAACTCAATGACCAGCCCGAACTAGACCAGGCCGCAGACTGAGTCAAAGGCACACTCTATTCATTCGGTCATCAGGGAAGGTGCTGGGGAAGGCGCATTTGGTGCTGCGCGGACTGGTCCTGTATTGTGTACACATACTCTAAACGCGATTGGCCAGGTGGTTGCGCCAATTCTCACCGGGATTATCAAAAACAATCCCCATGTAGTCGCAAGAATAACAGCGCAATATTAAGATAACATCTTCATGGTGCTTGCCAATAGTAAGCGATCGGTGTTGTCATGTGGACCCCGAACAGCTGGTTGCCAATACAGAAGGTGCAAGGGCTGGAGTTCAATCTCGCTCTTTCGCCCCCACACCTCGAACACAGCCTTGCGCAACATCGCAAGGATGAAACCGCGATGCCAAAGCAACGGGTAGCAATGCATCTCATATACAAGATGGCTCGCTGTCCAGCCCCCTGCTACTTCCCACTTTACTGCGAAAGTTTGCGTCTCATCTTCGCCGTCTGGTCGACATGAGTTCTCAACGTTACAGCTTACTCGGTGTGCCTGGAGCCCTTGCTTGGGAGATGGAGGAGTATGAGTCCGAGTACCGGTAAGCTTCGTTCTGCGATGAGACCTGGGTTTGTGACTGACAATTGCAGACCGCAGGGGCTCACGACTGAGGTCTCCCCAGTCAGCCTGCTCTCTGAGCACGGCTTCGCCTCAGAATACGATCACCAACAGAACCTTGAAAGTACTCAACATCAACACAATGGCAACGTCAAATCATACCCCCAGAATGAGAGCGTCAACGGCTACTCGCAGAGTTCTGGTGCGGGTGCGGTTGATCACCCGTCCGAAATCTATTTGCAAGACCACGCAGCCAGTCTCACCTCAGAGTATATGGATGGTGCGGATTCTAATATCTCGCCAGAAACGGGTCTCGGTTCATTCGGTCAACCTCTTCGCCGCTTTTACTTCCGCACGATAGTCGGCATCCTTGGACCGGTAATCGTAGTATCTTATTTCATCACCATCTGGCGCATCTACCTCGCCTCACTCCACCCCGACTCGACAGCAGCCTTCGGACCACCGGGTGCCAAATGGGTCTTCTACGGTTGGTTCGTCGCGGGAGTGATCGGAATGAGCTTAAGTCTCTACGGACTGGCTGGCGCAGAGGCTGGCATGCTTATGGAACGAACCTGGAGAGTTGAAGATGCCATGCGTCTTATGTTGCATGCTGACAACACATGGTCTGGCCCTGGGGGCTGGATGAAAGCAATCAAATGGGTTGTGCAAAGACGCAGGGCGCGCAACCAGCGTAGCAAGATCCCTTCTCGGCTGTGGTTCGTTCTAGCACTTCCAAGCGTGGTTGTCTTCGTCGCTTGGCCCTTATCAGGTCTTTGTCTTGAGATGACTAGTGGTTTCCTTCGTGGTAAGCCAGGGCAAGGAGCGAATGTTACCGGATTCGTTCAATCGACGTTCAACGCCGACCCTGGGGGTCGTAGGCCGTCTAGAGGATCCTACATCGGCGCACGTGTTTTCGGACACGGCGCCGTTTATACACCTGAGAACTTCAATCGATCGAAGAAGGAGTTTTTGAAGAATGTCCCCGTGATACTGCCGAACACTGAGAGCGTCGAAGAAGTATTTTTGACTGCTCAAGGTGAAACTCCTGTCGAGGGAAAAGCTTGGGGTCTGTTGCTACATTACGACTGCAACATCGTAGACAAATTGTCTGACTTCGTTCTCTTGAGAGACCGTCGATTCGCAACATACGTCTGGCGAAGCAACAAGATATTTCGTAATTTCGAACAAACAGGAACGGCGCGAAGTGCGGATGAGGATCCTCCCATCGACGAATCTCCAGCATCAGCCTTCCAGTTTACGCCGACATACGTCCCTGGTGCAGCTGCTACCTCCAGTTCCGACGATGATGACCAAATCAAGTACAAGTCATACCGCCTCCATGACAACAATACCCTCGTGGAGGTAAAGAGAGTGTCCGGATGGAATTTCGCTGGACGATTCGATCCCGGATTACTGAGTTGGGCTATAGATATCGGTGGAGTTATAGAGACTGCGTATCAATCCCTGTCCCCACCAACAGGCTCAAACGACGAACCACCCTGCGGTTGGTCTAGTGAGAGGGAAGACCCACCAACGTCTTACTGCTACCATGATCTGCAAGAAGATCCTTCAAACCCGTATCCTGGAATCGAATACAAGACTACTTTCGAGGTTCTGTTGTGGCAGATACATCCCCTGTCTTTTGTTTCTATGGACAGCACCATCGTCCGTAATATTGAGTCGCTGACTGGTGAGTACGTCGATGTTTATGGTAAGAAACTCGAAGCTATTGGCGCATCCTGTACGTCAAGCAGCAGTGTAGGCTCAGCAGACATCGACGGCGTGCGATCTACCTACTCCAACTTCCAACGGAGCGACACTCCGGTACCTACTCTAAAGAATGATTGTGCGAAACGCTTTGGCGCAGAAACACTCGCGTGTACACTCAACATCAAAGACGATGGTTGGCTGAGATGGCTGTTTGAATCGATAGGCCTACCGTCACCGTTTGACACATCTATAGTGAATGCTGCAGAGATTGCTGTTGGCAACCTGAGAGCTATCGCTCAACTCGAATATCTGCAAGCCGACCAACTTCGGCAGGTTCTTCTACAAGCTTACTCCACCTACGCCATCAAGCTCATGTACAACGACGGTCGAGACTTCATCGGAATCAACAGAACAGGCCTCAAGTCACACGTCCCCGACCTCACGGCTTTTGTCGCTGGCACCGTAATTGAACCGGGCGTCATGCCAGCCGCTGTTCCTGTTGCTCTATTCGGATTATGGGCCTTGATCAGCTCAGGTCTCTGCCTTATTTACGGATTTAGGCGACGATGGAGCGCGATTCTGGACGGGCATACGGTTTTCAGGCTTGGGGCCGAGTTGCAGCAGACGTACCGGGCGAGAATGCAACGGTATTCTACGATTGCTGATGTTGAAGAATGCGAGGCTTTGCATGAGATTCCAGGGTTCGTTGCCGACATGGAACCTAATGATGATGTAGGGAGGATTGGACTTATGGATGGGAAGCCGGCTAGGAAGGACAAGCTTTATCGGTAATGAAGGGTGTCGTCAACGTCGCATGTCAAGTACTGTACAGTAGCAACTACCCACAAAGAAGCACTTATAGAGAGAGAGAAATTTGATCAAAACGTGTCTTTGTCGTCAAAAATGTAGTATGCGTATCGAACGCTCTACCACTGAAATAATATTTACAACCAACGTAATTTTCCCTTGCATATATTTTCCAACATCATCAGTACCCCGTCAAGCGATCTAGAAAGCAAGCAAGACAGCTCCCATAACAGCACCTACAAGACCACCGGCCTTGACATGGCTCGCCGCACCAGTAAACTGTGATGGTGGAGCAGAGAAGGTAGCGTTGCCAGAGGGCTGCGGCAGCGCACCAGTAGGCGCAATTGAAGGCACAACAACACCAGGTGCGGACCTCGTGTCGATCTCCAGACCAGACTCAGTGGGGTAGGGAGGAGATGAAGCTGCCGGGGAAGTGATCAGACTGGAGATGGGCACGGCAGGGTACTCAGTCGTGAAGGTGGCGGGTGGTGCGTTGGTGATGGCTGGGGGAGCGCCGGTGACGGTGACGGTAGCAGTACCGCATTCGCAAGGCTCATCTTCGCTGTCGCTGCCAGTGGGAGAGTCAGGGCTGCCCGACTCTTGGGGGACAGCGGCGCCGCCGGTGGGGTAGTTGAAGCCGGATCCGCCGTTGCCGCCGGCTGGGACAGCGGGAGGTGTGGGCTTTGCTGCGTCGCTCTCTGTGCAGGTGGTGGATGCACCGGAGGGCTTTGAGTCGGAACCGCTGTCGGATCCACCAGTGGCGGCTGGGGCGTCGATGCCCGACTCGATGGGAGCTCCGGTTGCGGCAGCGGAGTCTTCAATGGCTACGCTGTTGACAGGAGCGCCCTCTGTGTTTCCGGCATCAATGACCTTGATGGACTTGAAGTCACCAGTCTTGTCGGTCCACTCATACTCCTTGCCGGGCGAGTAGTTGATGACCTTGATGCTCTTGACGGTCATGGTGAAGGGCGCATCGTCGTAGGTGACGTTACCACCCGCCCACTGGCGGGTGCCTTCATCCTTGGAATCACCGCCTGGCCAGTTTCCAAGACGGACATTGCAGGGGGTTTGGGGGTAGTTCTTGCCGCCGTTGGCATCAGCAAAGTTCAATGTGCGGGTAGGCTTGTCGTCAACGATCCAGGTGAGCGATTCAGAAGTCCAGTTGAGAGCGTACTTGTGGAACTCGTTCTGATTGTTGAGAGCATCGGCCTCGATCATGCGATCGTAGGTGGTAGTGTTGCCCTGACTGGTGTTAAACGCTTGAAAAGCAAGTGCAGATTGTGCTGTTCACATACCTTGCCGAAGTAGTTCTGCTGAACACGGCTGTCTACGCCACCAATCCATTCCCAGTCGACTTCATCCAAGTTGTCAGACTGAAGAACAATTGAAGAGATAATGCCGACGCCAGGGGCTGCCTTCATGACGACCTCAACGTATCCAAAGTGAAGCATGGCCTCGGATCCAATAGTGGGAGCATCACCCTTCTTGGCAACGGTAAGTTCAGCGCCCTCGGGTCCATACTTCAGGGAACCGGCAGTCTGCTTCCATCCCTTGATAGCGTCCTTTCCGGCAGTGAAGTCGGTCTCCCAGTTCTGGGGCATGGCAGGGTTGTTAGGGCATTTCTTCTCCATGGGGTTGCAATCAGTGAAGGTCTGAGCGGTGGCCAGAGCAGCCAGCACGCTCGCGGTAGAGTATGTGGAGAAACGCATGGTGGATATCTCGGTAAAGTCTAGTGGTTCGAGATAAGTTGATAAGACAAAAAGAAGTAGTCGTCCGAGATGTGCTGTACGGCGTCGTTTCACACGCAAGACACAATGTCAACAATGCGTAGAGTGGTGTTAAGGAATGTAGTGCTTCGCAAGCGAGCGTTGAAAAGAATGTAGTGACTGAGGTCGACCTGCGTCCAGAGAATCGACTGAGAGAGTGTGAAGTATGAAAGGTTAGACAAAGAGTACAGGCCAGTGCTGCGTGTCAGAGGAGCACCGACTATTAAAAGTCACGAAATGCTATACGAAGCAATCTCCCCTGCGCGCCAGGACGCGCATCAGCGGCCAGCGGCCGAAGTCCATGCGGCTTTTCAAGCCCATGCAACATGTCTCCAGTTCAAGCGCTGCGTAGACCTGAATGGTCGTGATGGGTCTCCTGAAGTGTTTCACCAGCCGTCTGTGGAGACTAGGGCGTGTCAGCATAGTCGAGCCGCGGAGCCCGTTCTGGCGGCGACGCCGCAGGCGCCTATCAGAATGGAGAAGTGCCTGGCATCATCTGGCCCATGTTTCTTCTTCCCAGCCACTAATTCTTATGCTTTGGGAGTTGGCCGGCTGCGTGGATGTGGCTGTGCCGCTGCGCCCAGCAAGTGGGAGGGATTGACGTTTCCCGTCATTGCGATGCGCACCTGGGCAGCCCTGACAGCTGGAGCGATGCGCGCTCTCCTATCTTATCTTGGCGATCATCCGTCTATCAATGACGTCTCTTCAACGGCCGGTTGCAAACATGTCGGCGCATGGGACGCGCGGAGAGGTTGCAAAGGGGGATGTCTGACAGGTGCAGTTTGGTAGGCGGCGCAGTCGCTCCGACGCCCGGTGCCAGACATGTGAGATGCAGGTGTAAACGGGGCGCTACCCAGAAATAGCTAGTAAGCTTTTCACTTGATTTTTCCAGGCTACCAAGATTCACAACTGAAGCCGAAGCTCACTCGCGCCCGTGTGCAGGGCTCACTATCGGCACGTGACTCGTCACTACACCGCCTTCCAGGGCTCGCCCCGCCGTTGCCCCTCGGTGGCAGAATTATTCGAATTTCACGTGTGACGAAATATACATGCCCATGCCGATCCTTCAGATCCTGTAAACATTCCACACACAACCAACTATGGCCACCACCGACGGAGGAGTAGCGCTGCCACAGCAACAACATGAAGAAGTTGACCAGGTCGAAAAGCCCGTCACAAACGAAACGCCCACTAACGACGATGACAACGAAATTGACGACCTTTTCGAGGACGAGGACGAGATAGTGCCAGAATTAATATCGGGCGACCACCACGACTTCACCAAAGCCTACAACCGCCAGCGAAAGCTAAACGATACGAACATCCCAGACGATCACAAGCCCAAGTTGAATCCACAGAAGCCGTCCGCCAACACAAACGCCTCCATCGACGACCAAGTCGCCTCCCTCGCGAAGCATGCGGGCAAGATTCGCCTCACCGGGCGCATGACGGGTGCGTCCGGAGGCAACGCAAGGGACAAGGACAAGGCAGACCGCGCGACAACCGAACAAGTTTTGGATCGGAGGACGCAGATGATCCTGCTGCAACTCATAAACCGCGGCGTAATCTCAGAGATTCACGGTGTCATCTCTACGGGCAAAGAAGCCAACGTATACCATGCGATGACGGAAGCCCCAGAAGAGGACGCCGACCCTATTCACCGTGCCGTCAAGGTATACAAGACGTCCATCCTCGTCTTCAAGGACCGCGCGAAGTACGTCGAGGGCGAGTTCCGCTTTAGGCAAGGATACAACAAGAGCAACAACCGCGCCATGGTACGGATGTGGGCAGACAAGGAGCGTAGGAATCTGGCTAGGATACACGACGCAGGCATTCCATCACCAATGGCTCATGCGCTGCGAAACCACGTTCTTGTCATGGGCTTCGTCGGTGACCGCAAAGGCAAGGCAGCGCCCCGTCTGAAGGATGTGCGCTTCGAGGGTCTCACGGCAGAAGAGGAAGACGCGAAGTGGACAAGTCTATACCTCGAGATGCTGGCGTATATGCGCATCATGTACCAGACATGCCGTCTTGTCCACGCAGATTTGAGCGAGTACAACGTCCTGTACCACGAGGGCAAGCAGTGGATCATCGATGTCTCGCAAGCCGTCGAACACGACCATCCTCGCTCTCTCGAGTTCCTACGCATGGATGTCAAGAACGTATCTGACTTCTTCCGCTCCCGCAACGTCGAGACGCTTAGTGAGCGCAAGGCTTACGCCTACATTACAAGTGCCGCAGGAGCCAAGACTACCAAAGAGCAGACCGAGATGGAAGAGAGCATCCGCAGCCTCCTAAGCAAAGAGCCATTAACCGAAGAGGAGCGGAAAAAGGAGGAAGAAGACGACGACGTCTTCCGCAACCAATACATCCCCCAAACCCTCGAACAAGTCTACGATATCGAGCGCGACGCCGAGCTCGTCAACGCAGGTGGTGCCTCCGACCTCCCCTACCAGGCCCTCCTCGCCGACAACGTCGTTAACAACGGCTCTGATGCTTCAGATGCTGAGTCGGACGATGGTAGCTCAGGATCTGAGGTTGATCAGAGTATCTTCGACAAGGGCCCCAGCCGCGGAAAGAAACACGTTGATCATGACGAGAAGGTGGCGCATAAGAAGGCTATCAAGGAGGAGAAGCGCGAGAAGAGGAAGGAGAAAATGCCCAAGCATATGAAGAAGAAGTTGGTGAATGGGGGTGGGCATAAGAAGAAGTGAGCCTAGACATTATCTGACCTTGCAGTCTTTTCGCGATCGCAGAGAGTGTTTGAACGCATGCGGGCACGAACACTATATCTAGTCGCGTGTTCCAGTTTCCATGCGGCACAAAGAAGGAGCATAAAGAGAAGAAACCCAGAAGGCCATCGCAGCAAGGTCATTCTAGGGCCTGAACAGCCTCGTTATAGCGCTGCTCCAGACTCCACTACGCAGAAGTTCGGCTCTCCTGAGTTGTACCTGATTCACAGCCACCCTAGGGTGCATCGTGTGCAGGCCAGGGTCCTGGGTACGGCTTATGAAAGGGAAGCTGCTTTGTAGCAGACCTTGTCGAGCACAAATGTTCGGAGTCTACCCCAGTGTGCTAGATAGATGCGATCGAAGTTATTGAGGTATCATGAATCGAGTATCATTCCATGAATTATCCATATCTTTCGTCTATCTTATAGCATGTTTTTCCTCCAAGCTCTCGTACCCAGTTTCTCAATCTCCGGTACTTCAACCGGACCCCTAACATCCTCATCTTCAAGTGCTTCCACAACCGCCTCACCGACCAGATCCGCTTTCAGTGGCTTGATACCACCTGCGCCCATGAGCCATGTCAATCTTCCTCCAACAGCACTGTTTATCATGGCAGCCACGCCGCCTGCTGCCGCGATAGGGAGTGTGAATGTACGGCTGCTATCGTACATGAAAGGCGCTCGAATGAAGATCGATCGCATAGTGGGGAAGGTAGATGCGATGAGTGACTCGGCTTCTCGTTTCGTTGTAATGTAGCGTGCGGGGAGGATAGGTGTGCCCGCTGCGGCGGAGATGTAGAGGTAGGTTGGGACTTTGCGGGTTGAGGCTTCTTGGGCCAGGGAAACGGCTGTTTACAATAGTTAGTCGTTTGCGCCAATTGAGAAAGCAACGGCAATGCCTGCGTCAACATACCAGTATCCCGATTCATAATCTCATACGTAAGCTGCCCGTCGCTCTCCTGCGGCCTCAACTTCTCCCCCTCCTTCCGTGTGAGCGGATTCTGTGTTCCGGCCTTGGTGCTGCTGAAGGCGCGTTGTAGTCCTTTGATTGGGCTTTCCCGTCCGCTAATTACGCCTTTGTAGTCTGCTTCTAGTAGGATGCCCATGCTGTGTATTACGGCATCTGCGCCTTCGAGGTGCTTTGTGTAGGATTCTGGGTCGAGGATATCGCCTTTTTGCCATGAGACCTTTTCGGACCAGTCGGGTGGTGTTTGCGAGGAGGAGACGGAGGACCAGTGGGGTGTGCCGGAGCGTCTGGGATGGTGTTAGTAGAGGATTGAGTTGATTTGGTGTGGAATTGGAAGGGCGTACGAGATTGAGGTTACGCTCCAGCCTCTGTGTGCTGCTGCTCTACATATCCGGCTGCCTGTTTGCTACATTAGCTAGCTGTTGTGCTGGTGTAAAGCTATTGCTCGAGCTAGCTCGGGGGAACTCCTCAATTGCATACCCAAGAAGCCATTGCCGCCGCATACTACGAGTTTCTTCTTTGCAGCTTGTGCTGTCGTTGAGGCCATTGTTGTGTTGTGTGGTGGTTGATCAGACAAATGGTCAAATTGTTGTCCGCTACGGCAATGGCTGATGGAAAGGGACGAGTGCTGATGTCACTCCACTTCGCGTCTGTCGCGTAAGATCGAACAGGGATATGCGGAGAAGCTGTTCACCTCCGCGTCTTGCATGTAGGTCGCGTCGTTGCTCCATGTCAAGACGCATTTCAACGAGACATACATATGGACTAGACAGGATGAGCCTGTTAGTAGCACTATGGCGTTATAAGGCACGTCGCACTCGCAGTTCTGACCAGTAGAAAGAAAGTCCATGTCGTCATGACGCTTCATATTAGCGTACGGGGGCCCTCTGCCAGAGCCAAATGCAATATGCTATTGTGACTACTGGCTTGTACTTCGCATCTTTCCAGACGGAACCAACATCCATATACTAGACTATCATGCAAGCCTTCAGAAACCTCTTCAAGAACGACCTCGTCCTCGTAGGCACAAACCTCACCGTTGTAGCCGGCTTCGCGACATATCTTGGTACTGCACACTCCCTTCAATCCCACTCCCAGTATGAAGCGCGTAATGTTGTTGTTCTAACCGTTGTGTTCTACAGGATCTCGGGTGACGAAGAAGCTGGACCACATGGAGGAGGAGCAGGAGGCGCGCTTGGACGAGATAGAAGGAACGCTACGCGGCCACATTGGGCTGATTGAGGACTCGCTGGACAGGATCGAGGGAAAACCGAATGCTGGAAAGCAAGAGAAATTGTACAATCAGAGGACGAGAGACGAGAAGGGAGGTGGGAAGGGGCAGGACAAGTAGGCGGGGCGGCCTGACAAGGATTAGCTGTTAGCTTGCGTGCCTGCATATCGGTGCCAGTCGTAGCTCGACCTTTGACAGAATACACGACTTTATCATTTGCGCAAACTCTTTCACATAACAGATACAACAGCGCATGCTGACTAGTATCTCACACGAACTCACAAGATGCCTGCGCCCGCCTCAAATAAGCGCGTCAAGGCAAGTCGGCCGCTTCGTTACAGCTGTAGGCGCATACTGATGATGGGCAGAACAAGCGCATCAGTCGCAACCTCAGTAAGACGCAGTACAACCCATGCGCCGAACATTTTGCTCATTCCACGCAGTTATCGGCTCCGAAGCCTGGCAGCTGCCCCCAGTAGGCCACCCCGACCGCCCCAAGGGCGTACCCGACGACCACACGAAGCGCTGGACCGTATACGTGCGCGTACCTGACGGCGACCCCGACATCCGAGCCTGGCTCAACAAAGTGTCGTTCAAAATATTCAACACATACGAGAACCCTTTGCGCATGGTAGAGAAGCCCCCATTCGAGGTGACCGAGACAGGATGGGGAGGTTTCAACATCGACATAAGACTGCACTTCCAGCCCATCTCAGGCGAGAAGGCGCAATACCGGCAACACTTTCTGCAGCTGGAAAAGTACGGCGACGAGAAGATGCAAGCAGAGCAGGAGCGAACAGGCTGCGTGCGCTCCGAGTTCCTCGAAGTGGTGCAGTTTAACGAACCCACTGAAGCCCTCTTCGACGCCCTCACATCGGAAGACCAGTGGAACTACCTCATACCCGCCGGCAAGGGTGGCTCTAAGAAAGCCTCGCTCGGTGCGAACGGACGGCTCAGGCGCGGTCTGCCCAACGGCGAGCGCAGCGCTCAGTTGCCCGAGAAGGGAGCAGACGAGGTTCCTTTCAGCCAGGAACAAGAGCAGGCGCTACAGGACTTCTTCAAGCAGAAGATGGAGGATGTGGAGAGGCAGTTAGACAAGGAGGCCAAGAAGAAGGAAGAGGTAGAGGCCAAGCTCAAGGCATTGCGCGGTGAGCTGGGGCACGAGGCCGCTCAGCAGGCTGCGCAGCAGGCTAGTGGTGATAGGAGCCGGCGCAGGTGAGATTGCGTGATGCAGGCTCACTGCACCGATGCCTTGAGTCGCGGATACCACAGATCCTACACATGATGAGTTGGCATAAAGCATGCTAACAACTTGCGAGAAGGGACCGGAAACGTCGGCGCTAATGCATAACGATATTTCTTCGTGAAGCGCTGGTTAGGAACACGTGTGTCGTCTTCTCGTCGCTCAAGTCGAGCACCGCGCGGCTCCGAACGTATCCCGAGCCGCCGGACGACGATATGAATAGTTTGGGAGTCGTTCGTTAGATTGCGCCAGGTTATGATCCGGACATACACGTATACAGGAGGCAGATACCGAGGCCTTGTGCTGGCTTACCACCTGCACCGTACTGCACGTTGATGCGAGGGGTTCATAATCCGCCGTGTTTCGGGTAATACTATACAAATAAGCCGTTTGCCCCGAACACACGTACTTCCGTACATGCAATGGTGTATTTCGTATAATTCTGATCATTGTAGTGCACTAGGTGAATACTCGTGATTCTTCTTTGTATTGGGTATCGTATCTCTGCTCGTGTTGTCCGTCACCCCCACCGCCCATGTATGCTCCAACCATCGTAATTCGTAAACGCCCGCAAATGCCAGACATGCCTACCGTAGCCAAAACACCTTGAATGCAAACACGTTGGGATGTGAAAATCACTCGACTTCCATATCCTTCGGTTCCTTGGGCTCTTGCGACTCGTGGAACTGAATGGCGTCGTCAATGTAACTCAGCACCGCACCGAGACTATCCTCGTCCTGCACATCCAGCTTGAGGAACGAGACCATGCTGAAGCCATCAATAAGCTCAGCGACAGCCTTGTTGAGCTTATGAAACGACGATCCGCTCATGAGACTCTCGGTCGACGCCGGGTCTTTGTATTTCCTCTCCTCCTCCGGCGTATGCTTCTTGCGCGCCGGATCATCCTCGATGAGATCCGCATCGACATCAACAAAGCGCTTGAGGTCGCGCTTCGCAATTTGCCCTTTGACCAGATCCATCTTGCTCAGTATATTGATATGCGGCATCTCCAGCATCATCATAGCGCTCATCGCAGACAGCGTGCCAGAGAAGAACTTCGGCCGATCGATAACGAACGTCGCTTCGAGGAGGTATGCGGCGCACATGCGGATGTTGAGGGAGCCGGTCATGAGATGCTTGACCAAGCCTGGCAGTATGGGTACGTGTGTGTAGAGTTCGATCTGGCCGGGCATGTCGAAGACGATGAGGTAGTCTTCGGTGACTTCTTCGAGGGGGTCCGTCAGCCAGTCGAGGTTCTCCATGAGGAATTCGAAGCAGTAGATTAGCCCGCCGTTGGGGCCGAGGCTCATTTCTTCCATTACATCTTCGAGGCTGATGAGGTCTTTGATGTCGAGGTCGGGCTCGAAGGCGAATTCTTCGGCGGCGGGGTCGAGGTTTACGTAGAAGCAGGGGCGTTTGCTATTCTGTAAATGCTGTATTAAAGCGGTACAGAAGGTAGACTTTCTTTAATGATTGTTAGCTTCAGTCCCATGAGCAGCGGCAGGGACTACGCACCCCGCGCCCGCTGGGCCCTGTTATTGTTAGTCTAGAATCTTCTCCGAAGAAAGATATACATACCATAACCAAGGTTCCGTATTTGCTCATCGTCACGGTTGGGCTTTCAGTTGATCTGGCGCGTCATTCCAATGTTCGGCTTTACTGAACTAACGTTCGGTGCTTGCAGGCGGGAACCTTTTCTGCCATGAGCCCTAGCGTCATGAACGGCGGTGAGAGAGATGTGGGGAGCGTGTCTCATTGGACAGACAACGGGCCCTGAACCTTAACAGGTAGAGAGCGCATGGCGCGATGGTGAGCTAGGGCCGTCGGTGCCCATTTTTCTTCAGCGTTCTTCGGCATATCTTTGCTGCAGTTTAAATCACCCCTCCAACCTCCAACTTCGTTCCACTGCCCTCCACCACCTCATCCTCCCGTACATAAGTCGAAAGTCTTCAAACTATCACCTCACGATTTCCTGCTCTCAACCGCCAAAATGACCGTCACCAACGGAAAGGGAAACTCCACCTTCCTCTTTACGAGTTTGTAACCCATATGCAAACTACAAATAAGACCCTACTAACCGTTGCAAAGGTGAAAGCTATGTTACCAGCGAACGATGCACGTATGACATACTAATTTCCTCTGCAGTGTCGGAGAAGGACATCCTGATAAGATCTGGTACGTACACTTCTTCCAGTTCTTCAATTGCTTTCAGGGCCGTCGTTCGGTGCGCGACAAGACACGTATTGCTCGGCGCGATAGACGGCATCCCCACCTACTGAAACCGGCCGGGACTTTCCCCACAACTCTTCGGGACATTCTGACTGTATGCCAGCGACCAAGTCTCGGACGCCATCCTCGATGCCTGCCTCAAGGAGGACCCCCTCTCCAAGGTCGCTTGCGAGACCGCCGCTAAGACCGGTATGATCATGGTCTTCGGTGAAATCACCACCAAGGCCCACCTCGACTACCAGAAGATCATCCGCGGTGCCATCAAGGACATTGGCTACGACAGCTCCGACAAGGGCTTCGACTACAAGACATGCAACGTCCTTGTTGCCATTGAGCAGCAATCGCCCGACATTGCTCAGGGTCTCCACTACGAGGAGGCTCTCGAGAAGCTCGGTGCTGGAGACCAGGGTATCATGTTCGGATATGCCACCGACGAGACCCCCGAGCTCCTTCCTCTTACCGTCCTCCTCTCCCACAAGCTGAACTCGGCTATGACTGCTGCCCGCAAGGACGGCTCTCTGCCATGGCTCCGACCCGACACCAAGACTCAGGTCACCGTTGAGTACGCCCACGATGGCGGTGCCGTCGTTCCTCTCCGCGTTGACACCGTCGTCGTGTCTGCCCAGCACAGCGAGGACATTACCACCGAGAAGCTCCGTGAGGAGATCAAGGAGAAGATCATCAAGAAGGTCATCCCCGAGAAGATGCTCGATGACAAGACCGTCTACCACGTATGTCCACAAACCTCCATACGTCCGTCCAGCATACTAACATAGCCAGATCCAACCCTCCGGTCTCTTCATCATCGGTGGTCCCCAGGGTGATGCTGGTCTTACCGGACGTAAGATCATCGTCGACACCTACGGTGGCTGGGGTGCCCACGGAGGTGGTGCTTTCTCCGGAAAGGACTACTCCAAGGTCGACCGTTCCGCCGCGTACCTTGCGCGCTGGATCGCCAAGTCCCTGGTTCAGGCCAAGCTCGCCCGCCGCGCGCTCGTGCAGCTGTCCTACGCCATCGGTGTCGCCGAGCCCCTCTCCCTCTTCGTCGAGACATACGGCACCTCGGAGCGCTCCTCCGACGAGCTCGTCGAGATTGTCAAGAACAACTTCGACCTCCGCCCCGGTGTCATCGTCAAGGAGCTCAACCTCATCAACCCCATCTACTTCCAGACCGCCAAGAACGGTCACTTCACCAACCAGGACTTCACATGGGAGAAGCCCAAGGAGCTCAAGTTCTAATTCTAACGCCTTGATTAAGACATAAAGGTGGGCTTGAATCAACTTCAGCCCAACCGTTTTCAAAGTTAATAAACGCGACGACAATGACGTCCGTCGCGCAGTCAATGAGTGAGAAAGATTTGCATATCTTTGGGAGGCGGGTAAATGAGCCTTTTCAACAAGTGTTTCAACGGCGTCCACGGGGCATTACAACTATACCCACATGATACCAGCCCGTTTGTACTTTCCAAAAGTTTCCTATGCGGATTTCCTTTTCATTTAGATCGGCCTAGGGCAGGCTGTAGATATACAGAGCTTCAACAATTGTTGGACCGCAGTACGTTGTCAACACGTACGTGAGGTCGGTTTCGCGCGCTAGTTCGCGAAGTTGGTAGTGGTTGGGGAGGTTGGGATATAGAGAGAATCAATC